TTCTGACCTCTATTTTTTTGTAACGTTACGATCTTTCTTGTTCTCTGATTTATCTAATTAAAAAAAAAACTATTAATCAATTCAATTATTGAACGATAACATTTTATAATCAAATTCAATACTTTTTAATTCCTATTTTTATACTATTTCAATGTTTTTCCAAAATTCTTCCAAAATTCTTCTTCCATTATTAATCAACATCAATCTTATCTTAGTGCTCCATATTCCCATATTTCTCCAATATTCTCCAAAAAGTTTCAGCTTTATCGATCTCGAAGAGTAGGAAATAGGAAGGGAAAACTAGTTCAAAGGTCTGTTCGATGAAACAAAAAAAAGGGGGAGGGAAAGAAGCGAAATTGAAGGAATCGATTCGAGGACGTCAGTCTTTTTCTTTCTCACGAGCATTCGTTTGATCACCGATAATTAACCCTTTCCAAGTAATTGTGGTGAAGTAATTGCATACTATTTTTTTTTTTCCCCCTCCTTGAAGCTCGAACACGTGGCTTGTTCGCAGTGTGTCGAATGATCTCATCAAACTTGCATCAAATGTTTTCATGGAATTTTCAAAAGGGGCTTGACTAAAGTATCATCACGACACTGCTATCTAAACCTGTCCTAAATATTTGAACAGGCTACCGATTCTCCACTCGTGACAAATTATTAAACGCCATTCTGTTTCACTCTCTCTCTCTCTCTCTCTCCTTCCCTTTCTCTCTCGCCTTCTTCTCATCATCCTTCTCTTATGCCAGGTTCGAACTTCTCTTACTTGATCAAACAGATCGATCGATAGACAGGGTATAAGCTGTTGTCTATAGACGGTCTATAGACATGAATAGCGCAGCCGGAAAAGCCTGGAACGAGCGAATCTAGGAGTAGGAGGAAGAACTGGTATCTTGCACAATTTGTGGAAAAATTTGAAGAAGTTCGTAATTCTCGCTTGTTTCCTGGTAAAATTAATATATATATTTTTCGTGAAATTTTACGCGAATATTTTTATTAAAATTATTCTGTAAAAATGGAAATTAGCTTTTTAGCGTTTTATATCATACCTTTTATTTTCTTTTGCCGTAAATCGATATCCGATTCGTCAGGATTTAAATGTAATGATGCACAGTTGAAGTCTGTTAAAGTGACCGCTTTTTTAAAATAGATTTCTGCAAAGTTTTATCCCGTGATATATAGTTCAGTTTATCGTGCGAATTAATGAAAGGTTCGATTCAGCGAGGGAAAGTTTCTCGTTTAATATTTCTCTTGTCTGAGAAGTTTGTTATTTACATTCTATCGAATCGAAATCTGTTTTTTTTTTTTTTTTTTTTTTTTTTTTTTTTTTTTTTTTTTTTTTTTTTTATCATAAACCAACGAAGGGTAATCTTTCAATAGAGACTTTTTTTCTTGTACTTTGGGAGCATACACTATTCATCATGGAAATTCAGTTCAACGAGGGGAGAGTGTTCGTTGTATCTGTCTACTTCTTTCTTCAAAATTTTTCGAATTGATCGATAATATTTCGATAAATTTAAAAATGGCATTTTTTTTTTTTTTTTTTTGCATTTCTTTCTATGTGTCTTTGCATTTCTTCTAAAATGACATAAAATTTTTATAGATCAATAATGTTATCGTGAAAAATTACAATGATATCATTGAAGTATTTTTCAATAATTCGATAAACGAAGAAAAAAAAAAACGATATCGCTTATTTATAATTAATCGCCTTGTGACGAGTAAGTTATTATCTAATTCTATTGATAATCTGACGGAGATGATCTCTTGTTGAAAGAAATTTCTTATCGTCGACAAGTTTTGCTTCTAATAGATAGTAAAGAGGAATAATCTTCCAACTATGATAATATAGATTCAGTATCGCGATGAACGTTTTTCCGTAAACTTATCAATCTCGTTAAATTGCATCATTTCTTTCATCGTTTCAAGTTCAATATCCAAATTAATGAACAATGAAGAACGAATCGAGGAGGAACGATCGAACGATGGAACACAATTTTTAATTTTATTAGTTTTTCTTTGAAAAATATCTAACGAATCGATTCATGCGTACTATTAATTATGTTTGATCATCGTTCACCGAGTACACGTATTGATCGAATCGATCTATTAGTGCCTCGTCCATCATCGTTTGTGTCAATTAATTTTAATTTTCTGTTATCTTCGTAATAATAATAATAATAATAATAATGGATAACCAAGAGGAGGAAGCGATTAAGAGGAGATCGACGCAGAAACCGATCTATATATCGATCGAAGAGAAGGAGGAATCTATATCGTGGTACAGTTGGATCTCCAACATATTGTGTAAACCGTTTCGAAGGAAATGGAAGACTAACAGGATACACGTAAACGAGATACCTCCGTCGCTTGTGTCGGTGACACAGGTACCAGAAAAATTGTGTGAAACGTAATTGAAAGTTTCTTTCGTCTTAGTACGATCCGCTATCTTTCCAAATCGATAAAAATCCATTTATATATATAGAATCGATCGCAATATTGTAAAATTTATTATTCATTTGTAAATTTGTTTATCCATTCGTAAATTTCGATATTTATATTACAACATATCTTTGTTTTTTCGTTAAAAAAACAATAACTTTTTTCTTTTTTTTTTTTTTTTTACTCGTCCTGGAAAAAAATTTTAAATGATAAAAAAAACGTTTATCGATTTAATTAATCTCTCCCATCTCTCGTGAAGATAAATGAAACGTGAAATTAAAAGAAATATTATTATATGGATGTTGCACTTACTGAGAATTTCGTTTCGCTGCAGTCGATTTATTCAGAATTCGAAAGAAGATCATTGTAGATGAAGTGCTGCTCGCCTCGTATTAGTCTTTGTTTTTATATCGTATTTTGTATCGTAGAATGAATAAATTGCATTAAACTGATTATAGATTAGTTATAGATTGTTTTTATCGGTTTATCGTCTTCTTTTTTTTTTTTTCGTGGCAGTAAATGATACAATCGTACAACAACAATTTTTATTGTGATTACAATAGATGTGTATACAATATTTACAAATAGAAATATTTGCAATTGATCTTTCCATTTAATTTCAAATTTATGATATTTTTTCTTCCTTCTTTTTTTTTTTTAATGATGATTACGAAAAAATTTCCCTCTCCACAAAGTTTCTTCGTGTTTCATCATTGCGCAAGCATATCCCTTTGTTCAAGATACACGTTCACAAGAGATCTTGAAGATGATTCTCGAGATTCATTTCAAGAATCTCTTGATCTTGACTGTACCTCTGTACTTGGAACGTTTCATGCGCTCAGAATAAAAGGCACGATAGTGATGTATATCCAACGAATGATTGGATAATCTTGTTTCGAAAAAAAAAAAATAATAATAATAAGAAAGAAAAAAAAGAAAGAAAGAAAGAAAGAAAGAAAGAAAGAAACAAAAATCATGTTCGACGATATTCTTCTAAGCTGAATTTAGAAAATTATCGTCTTAATCGAAAATATTATCGAGATTGAAATAACGTACTCGTTATTAAAAGAGAAATAAATTCATCTTATTTCGCTGTTACGCCTCAACTTCAGATTCGTTTCTCTCTTTGCCGTGATCCTAACATGTATAGGTTATACAATAATTCCACACCGTATAAAATCAAGCGACATTTAGTCAAATACGAATGCAAAACAAATATCAAGATGTGAATATACAAAAAAATTTAAAAGAATCGGCCCGTGCACGTCGGCGGGCTAAAGTTCAGCGAGAATACGCTGAATTTCACAAGCCATTGTCACGTTTTGAACGTGAGAGCGAGACAGTAGTACGTGCAAAATTGAATTAGCAATATTGTTAAAAAAGGGGGGAAGGGAAGGAAGGAAAAAAAAATAATGGAAAAGAAAAAAAATTTAGATCAAAGAATATAATATTCACGTTCGAGAAGATTAGACTTTCTCAATATTTGAAAAATTTACGTGCCATTTGATTTCAGATAGGATCCCATGATACTGAACCCCATCCGTTAACGAACAGTATTCCTAGTCTCATAAAAGTAAGTTACGTACACGATCTATCAATGCGATTCAACACGAATTATTATTATATAGAATAAAAATATCTTATCGATTTGCAATTGTATTATATTCAGATATTACTGGTCTTCCCCAAAGATGATCAACAAATGGATATCCTTGCTACTACTTCGAGGCGTTTGGGATGGAGCGTGTCAGTTGCAAAAGACGCGGAAAAAGCACTCGAATTCTTCCAGGCTCGAGGCCACGAGTTAGTGATCATCGATCATCGGGGGCATCGCGCTGCGGAAGCTGACATTATTTGTAGGTATGGAAAATTATTAAAAAAGAAAAAAAAAAAATGTTAATCATATTAATTGAAAGTAAAAATGTTAAGAATCGAATATATTCGTTTCAGAGCAATCAGGGCTAGTCCTTTATATTATAATTCCATAATTATAGCTCTTGTAAAAAAATCGTAAGTTGAATCTTTAATATCTTTTATACTACTCTTCTTTCTTTTCAATCGATCTTCGAGTTTATTTTATAAACTATATGTTTATGTAAAAGGTATCTCATGCATAGCGAAAGTGAAAAAATCGTAACATTGGATTTAATGGAAATAGGATACACCAAAGTAAGTTTTTTTAAAATATCGTTGGAAGATTTCGATTCTGATGAAATTTTTCATATATATTTATCTTGGGCTTATTTTCAGACTTTAATGGAATGCGCTCACGAAAGAATCTTAATAAACGAATTAGTAGGAATTTATACTAGCGGAATATTACCGAGGACACAACTGGTTGCTGCCAACATGCTGTATATCGCTCTTGACAGATGTCGTGATATGATACATGTGACGAACGATAAATATATTATACAGGTAAATGTTGCTCATTACTATTGCAAGTATTGCGGATAAATAATTAACGTATCTCTTATTTCTTTTTACTTTTACAGTTTGCTAATAAAATTAGTGAAAAATTATTAGGCTACAGGATTAATGAACTTTGGGGCAAAAACATTACAGATTTAATTTTGTATGATAATTTTATTCAAATGGAGCAACATATAATCAAAGGCCGAGAATATGATGGGAATTTGAACTGTATTCGAAGAAACAATCAAATGATAACGATTAATTGCAGGGTGATACCTTTCGCCTATTTCAAGTGAGTCAAATCAAATTTATCTGTTTTATATATGTATTATATGTTTAAAAAAAAAAGGAAAAAAAATATACTTTTGTCTTTTTTTTACTCGTTGTCTTCCCGTGTTTTCGAACATTTTCTTTCAGAAAACCGACTCATTATATTTTCATATTCGATACAACATATTTGTCAGAAAATATTCAGCCCCTGCTTCAGCCCACTCATCCAAAAACTGTGGTTATAACTCAAAAAAGAATATCTGAAATCGATTTCAAAGGAATTCAAGAAGGTAATATTTCAATTCATTCGTACTATTCGTATTTTATTTTTTGTTTCGATAAACTACTCGAGGCTAGAAATTAGGTTATCTGAAAACTACAAACACTTGCAATTTTTTTTATTAACTTGTCACCTTAATAATGTTTATATTCGATAATACGATAAAGAAAATAGGATATCTGCATCACAGATATAAATTTTTCTTATTCCATCTTATTTACCATCGAAATGATAAGTTAAAATTTCAATTTCATCATATTTTAATAATTATAAAATTAATTTGCAGTTCGCAGACGGCTCAGTAAACGTGATTTACAAACTTTGCAATTAGAAGCACCCATTACAAAAGTGATCGGCCTCCTTACGGCCTCGATTAAAGAAGATACATCGTCCGAGACGAAAGAACAAATCGAGAAGGTATCGCATCAATTATGTCGTCCATTTCTTTTCACCAATTCTATTTCCACATATATATATTTCGTTTTTAATATGAATCAATTAATTACAATGCAGGCGATTGATATTCTCAAAACTACCGAACTTTATTCACCAGTTTTTAAAGAACAAGGTGATCCAGCGGCCGAATTCATCGAGGCCTTAATTACAGTAATGTTGAAAAGAAAAATTCTCTCTTTACAATGTTCTAATTACCAATTCATCTATGATTTCGATTTTATTTTTAACGTTATTCGATATAGCCAAAAAAATCATGGGATATTAAGAAACCATCTGTAGAATCAATTCGAGAAACTCCTTCGAAAACATTAGCTGCCTCCACGCGTATGCAGATCAAAGGTTACAGGGGTCCTCAAGAAATTGCAGAAATTCTACAGAAGTGTTTGGAATGGGATTTCGATATATTCAAATTAGAAATATTAACGGAAAAAAGGTATTCGATTCTAAAGAAAAATTTATATGTAACTTGTTATTTTCTTTCTTTTTCTTAATGAATTAACGATAAATGTTAAACACATAATTGATCGATCTCTCTCGTTTTAGAGCGCTATTATTTTTGGGAATGACTATCATGAATCTGTTTCGCGTCCCAGCTAGACTTGGTTGTGAGGAAAAAATTGTACAAAATTGGTTAATTGTAATAGAAGCTAATTATGACAGTATGAATCGTTATCATAATTCAACACATGCTGCAGACGTATTGCAAGCTACTGCTATATTCATGCAAACGGAAAGGCTGAAACAGGTTTTGGAACCTTTAGACGAAGTCGCAGCTTTGATTGCAGCTGCTGCTCACGATATTGATCATCCTGGTAGATCGAGGTAAATCCAATTAATTCGACTGACTGATCAATACTAGAATAATTATTCACAATTATCCAGAATTTAGATATTTTATATCATGTTTATATTCTTTAGAATTTTTAATATCAAATAATTATTTTAATCGATTTCAGTCAATTTCTATGCAATTCTGATAACAAACTAGCGATCCTTTACAACGATTTGACCGTTCTTGAATCACATCATGCAGCATTAACATTTAAATTATCGCTATCAGACGATAATGTGAATATATTTAAAGTGAGTTTGAAAAATTTTCATCATAAATCATGAATTAATCTTTATAAATTATGAAAAGAATAAAATAAAATAATTTATATAAAATTTTATAGAATCTGGAAAGAGATACTTATAAACAGCTTCGCCAAAGTGTGATAGACATGATTCTAGCCACCGAGATGACGAAACATTTTGAACATCTTGCGAAATTTATGAATGCCTTCAGCACAAGGATTCCAGAGATATATATCGAAGTAATGATTATTTTTATATTTTTTCCTATATTTATTATTAAATAATTTTCAAATTCACGAAGTTATCTTGGCTTTTTTTTTTTAAATAAATCTATTACAAAATTATCTCTACTCGAATTATCTCCTTATAAACGTTCTTTCTAAAAATCTGAGTACAGGGTACTCAGGATATAGATGTATCAACTGCGATACTGCCAGAGAATATAATATTGGTGAAGAGAATGATAATCAAATGTGCGGACGTATCGAATCCTACTCGACCGTTGAAATATTGCGTCGAATGGGCCAGACGAATTGCAGAAGAGTATTTTAGTCAAGTACGTAACACATATGTTTCTTCTTTTTCTTTTTAGTATTCTTTCTTTCACCTGGCTAGATTACTGTGAGTTTACATATTTAGAAAATTATTCACATATACTTCAGGATGAGATAGAGTTTAAATTATTTTGATGCATTTGATAATTTATTTCAGACTGACGAAGAAAAACAATTGCATCTTCCAGTAATGATGCCAATGTTTGATAGAATAACATGCTCGATACCAAGAGCGCAAATCGGTTTTATCGATTTCATTATCAACGACATGGTCGAGGCATGGGATGGTCAGTAATTCTTATATCTTGAATGTTTATAAACATATGTATTGTTATCATGAACACATAATTTTATTTACAGTATTCATCAATATGCCGGAGATAGTGGGATTTATGAGACAAAATTACGATAAATGGAAAGAATATAACGTAAGTAATGAATTAAATCTTGAATTTTATTTTTTAATTATTCTCTCCATTTTTTACTTCTAAAATTTATTAAATTTAGTTATATTCTGAGAATAAAACACTATTTTTTATCAATAATTAAAATAATTAAAAAATATTACCATAATCACCACAAATATTCACTATAAAAGAATTTTCTTTCTGTACAAACGAATTTTACTCACGCATTTTAAATTGTCTTGTAGTCTTCTTTCTTCTTTCACTAATCTTCAAAAACTTCTAAATTCAATTATATTATTTAAAAAAAAAAAGCGGATTATTTTTATATTAACAATTTAAAAAGTTACATAAAGTTGTAACTATGAATATTTATTATAAAAATTTCTTCTTTGGATGTGATTGAATTTTGCTTTAATTTCTTGAAATATTTTATATATCTTCGTATTTTCTTCAATTTATTAAATTTAATAATATTTCTAGAATGAAATTAATTATTTTTTACTAAGAATTACATGAAAAACATTCTAATCACGAATATTTCACACTTCATTTAATAAAATTTAATTTTTACACTCACTTCTTGAATTTTTATCTTGATTCTTGGATTCTTCTTACTTCTTTTGCTATCTTTGTGAACTATTGAATTCAGATATATTCTAAGAATAATAAATTTTTTTTTTTTT